CGAATGCTAACCCTTAAAAGATGACTATTTTTATTCTATTCATTTTATTTTATAAAAGCTGAAAGAATAAGTTTAATCTGCTTCTACTGCATAACATAGGACTGGTGATCCAGGGGAACAAATGTTCTTTCTCTGTACAATCTTAATACCCACCTCAATTTCCTAATGTCTTCCTCAAGGCATCCTTTTGGTTTTGGGGTTGCTTTTCAATATGAATTGAAGACTGAAACCTCATCCTTTGTCCCTCAGTAAAATTTGTTTGGCATCAGATAATAAAGTTAGTGACCAATAGAGCTAAGTTTTGTGGAACGCAAGTGTGTGCCAGTCATGCCGTTTCTGGCTCATTTCAGCCTGGGATTATTTCCTGATCAGTTTCCTCTGAGCGACTCAGTGGTATCATTGGGCAGGGCTTTGGAGGGTCTGTTGACACTGTTAAGTGTCTCAAGATCTGAGGTGAGGTAGGGTGGACTCTTCTCCACTGCTCAATTTTTCAGTCTGCTGCTTTATCTACCTGACAGGAGGGCTTGAACTACTGCCATTTCTAAATTGCACTTCTAAATATTGACTTAATGGCAAGACTCAAAGTGTCATAACACAGCTCACTGGAGCAATGAAGATTTTCCAGGCCTCACCTAGAGGTCTGCACAGTGTCCCGTGGGGAGCAGAAGGGAAGAGAAAGGCTGAAAAAGAAAAATAAGATCAAGCCACGTTTAGAAGAAATGCCGTTGCACCTCACTTAATCCTGCAGAGACAAATTTGCACTTGGTGACTAACTGGCTGAGGTCAGAGGGTACCAAGACAGAGAGAGAATGGACAACAGTGACTGTGAATCGCCCCCTCAACCATTAACCAGCAGGAACGGAGGGAACCAGGGCTCTGCAGGCTGGGCTTGGCAGCCAGCTCTCAGAAAGACTTGTGCATGTAGTTTTGAAGGACTAGACAGTGTCTAAGAAACAAGAGACTTTTCATCCAATTTCTATGAAGACCTCACATCTAGATCTTTAGTTAATCTTTGTAGGTCACTGAGGAGATTCTAGTGGTTATCTTCTTGTCTCCTTTCCTTCTAATTGTTAGCACTGTAACTGATAATCGGGCAATTTTACCACATCGTATTAGTTTTTGAACTATGAATCAAAGGGAGTTATGGGCCCCTTCTTGCCCTTAAGGAGCTGTTTTGGAACAGTAATCAAATATTGCACAGGGAAATTAGCTTTGAGATTCATTATAAATTTACTAATATATAAATTAAGATACTCTAAGATGAGAGAAAACATAATGCTTAGTAACATATCAGTGATGAGTTTGGAATATAACTGATCCTCTTTGGCTTTTCTCCCATCTTTACATAGCATTGGTTTCTATGGCTAAGACCATTGACAGAGTCACATGCAAATCAAGCATGTGGATGTTGGGGGTTAGCTGTGAGGATGATGCCTGTCAAAACATTAAGAACTTTAGGTCCACAATAAAGGCAGTGAAGCCAACTAGATACCATGGAAGGAGATGATATTGAGGCAATAGTCATCTCAGTGGTCCTTAGACCAATGACCAGGAAGTTGTCATATTTCCTCTCCTGAGCCTGTGCATGGGATCTCTTGTGTTTGTTGATTCATACTTCTGAGAACGACTTCAATGTGGGCAAAGTCTTCAGCTTTAGACTTCATCACAATGGGCTCAATTGTGAATGTGGCTCTCTGGATAAGTCTCACTAGACTGGCCCATGCACTGACTTGCTTCCTTAATCTAACATCATACTTCATGAATGTCTAAGTCTCCATTTGAGATAAAGGAGTTCCCCCAAACCCTTCTGTTACAGTTTGAGCCAGATGCCCCCATGTTTTAAATGTTTATTCTCAAGCTGGTGGCACTCTTTGGTGGAGGCTGTGTAACCTTTAGGAGGTTACAGAAGCAACTCACTAGGGATGGGCATTTGACTGTTACAGTCTGGTCCCTTATTCCAGTCTTGTGGTTTGCTTGCCGACCCACCACTATATGAATAGCTGTCCTCTGCCAGATGCTCCACTCACCACGATGTTCTGTGCAAGTGCATGAGGCCAAGGGACTATGGACTTCAAACTTTGAAACCATGAGCCCAAAAAAACTCTTCTCTTAAGTGGTTTCTATTAGATGTTTAGTCATAGTAATGCTAAAAGTAACTAATACCCCTTTCCTTGCTTCAAAACTTCCCATGCCAGTTTAGGCAACTGCTATGGACAGAGTTCCAGGTGCCATGTTGAACTATCTCTGCTGATAGAACAAGGCAGTTCTTCTGCCCAATTTGGACATAGTACAGCCTGTGCAGGCCTTTGTGAGCCCACCTGTGGATGTTTGTCCCTGCTCTATGACAGTTTTCAAAGCTTCCCCACAGCTTGGCAGTAGGTCTGCCTTCTGCAGTCTCCATCTGTCTGTGTTCTGTGTTCCTTTGAGATCTGGCACGCCCTTGTGTGCCCTGAGAATCTCTCCATGTGGCCACCTCCAGAAAGCATCCTCCAAACTCCTGTTGAAGGCCCACATCCTCAGCACAGGCCATCTGTGACTCAGCCCTGGTTTACTCATCCTTCTCTCTACTCTCCCCCCACGCCTGTCAGCGGCCCTCCTTCACAACCCACTGTGCTTTCATAGTTCTCTCAGCTGTTGCTGCCCTCCAGCCCAAGTCAGTGAGATCTCTGCTGTTTGTCTCCATCTCCCACCAGGCTGCTCTCATTGATCCTTCCATTTCTTCTAGGCTTTCCCTGATAGTTATGTCCATAATGGCAATCATCAGTGTTACAGCATCATGAATTAGGGCAAAGTGCCTATAATCATGTGCCTGGAAAAGTCACTTTGCATTCTACCTTCTGAAGCCACCCATGAGTGAATCTACCAATGAGAACACAGTAATAAACTGATTATTTTGCTGGTACTGAATCACTTCGTTTTTTACATTTAGTGTGTGTGTGTGTGTGTGTGTGTGTGTATGTGTGTGTGTGTGTGTGTGTGTGTGTGTGCATGTAGGTCAGAGGACAACTTGCTGGAGTTGGTTCTCTCCTTCCACCATGTCAGTTCTGAAGATCAAACTCAGGTCATGAGAATTGGAGGTAAGTGCCTTTATCCAGTGAGTTATCTTGCTGACCCTTAATTATCTCATTATTAATGAAAGCCAAGGAACTGCCAGGATGAGAGTACCCTGTGGACTTTCCACAATAGCTAAGGCAGTCTGCAGCACTACTTCATAGTAGTAAGCAGAATCATTTTGCTTCTAATGATCTAGATACATAGTAGGAGTCTTAACACCCAGGGATGTCATGTGATATGTCACCAAAAAGTTGCAAGTGCTTTGATTTCTATTTTCAATACTGTAAGGGAATAAAAAGTATTAAGAAATAGGACATCAAATTCCTTTGTAACAGACAGTGAACTCACTAGAATTGATCTCTTCTATATATTGAATATCATTCATATGAAAATCAAGCATGAAATGCTGAAGCAAGGGAATCAGGAAAAGGCATTGTACTGGTCTGATGTCATAGAGTTCAAAAGAGAATTGAAGAAATGTGCCCCTAGGAAATATTATACATCTGACATAGGATTATTATCCAGAATATACAAAGGACTCAAAAAAACTAAGCAACATAAAACAAATAACCCAATCAATAAATGGGATAATGAAATGACTAGAAAGTTCATAAAAGATGAAACACAAATGGCCAATAAATGCATGAAAAAATGTTCAACCTCACTACCAATTAGAGAAATGCAAATCAAAACTACACTGACATTCCCTCTTGACCCAGTCAGAATGGCAGGCATTAAAAATAAACAACAAATGCTGGCACAGATGTGGACAGAAGGGAATCCATTTTTATTTTTATTTTATTATTTTTTAAATTTAATTAATTAATTAATTTATTTATTTATTTATTTTTGGTCTTTTTGAGACAGGGTCTCCCTGTAGCCCCAGCTGTCCTGGAACTCACTATGTAGACCAGGCTGGCCTTGAACTCACAGAGATCCACCTGCCTCTGCCTCCGGAGTGCTGGGATTAAAGGTGTGTGCCACCATGCCCGGCCAGAAGGGAATCCTTTTTAATCCAGCCACTCTGGAATCAGTGTGGAGGTCTCTCAAAAAACAAAACAAAACAGACAAACAAAAAGCCCCTAGAAGTAGACATACTACACGATGCATTTATACCACCCCTGGGTATTTACCCAAAGGACTCCAAGTAAATTGTAGCACTATACACCATATCTAAATTATGGAACCAGCCTAGATGTTCAACAACAGGGGAAAGGATAAGGAAAACACAGCATATAGAAACAATGGAATTTTTTAGCTACAAAGAATAATGAAGTTATAGCATTTGTGGGAAAATGGATGCAACTGGTGACAATCTCATAAAGACAAATGTCACGTTTTCTCTCATTTGTGATTCCTAGATTTTTAACTATTTTATGTGTATGAGTGTGTTGCCTGCCTGTGTGTAAGTGTACCCATGTTGTGCAGTGTCCACAGAGGTCAGAAGAGGGCATCAGAGTCCCTGGAACTGGAGTTATGGACAGTTGTTAGCTGCCACATGGGTTCTGGGAACTGACTGCAAGAGCAGTCAGTGCTCTTAACCACTGAGCCATCTGTCCAGTCATCCCCCACTAATTTTTATATAGTCACATGAAATCATTTATACATATAGTAAATAAAAGTAGACATGGCATTGTCTAGGGAACAAGGGGATTAATATGAGTGGGGAGGGCCAAGAAAGGAGAATGTAGGGACAATGGGGTGTTGGGCAGTGGAGGAGGGAATTTGCTCTCTAGAAGATATATACTTTTAAGAAAAATTAAAATTAATTAATTAAAGTGAATACTAAAAAAATTGTGCCCATAAGACACAGTTCTTAAGTAAAGGTTTCATCTTTCAAACCATGATTTAGTCTTCAAACAAGAACTCTGCACTGTTTTCCCTCAGAGGCTATGTGGTGTTTACGATTTGGAGGAGGAGAGGAGCCTGGAAGCAAGCACACTCACCTGGCCAGTAGTACATGTAGACCTTCCTCCGGGCCTTGGTCAGCGTGATCCACAGTGGTTCTGACCCATTCCACCAGAGGGGCATCAGGCTGTCACGGTTGACCCCGATGTCAAATGACTTATTGGTGCTGGGATCCCACATGTAGTTTCCAATCATCTGATGTACCTCACAGTGGCGGCCTACAGACACAGGAAGGCAAAGTCATCACTTCATCATCCTGCTTCTTTAAATTTTTCTTTCCTGATTAAAGCCATATATAACAAACCCACAGGCAACATCATTCTAAATGGAGAAAAACTGGAAACATTCCCATTGAAATCAGGAACCAGACAAGGCTGTCCACTATCTCCACTCCTCTTTAACATAGTACTTGAAACTCTTGCAAGAGCAATAAGACAAGAGAAGGAAATTAAATGAGTAATAATTGGAAAAGAAGAGATCAAATTATCCCTTTTTGCAGATGATATGATATTATATCTAAAAGATGCCAAAAATTCCACCAGAAAACTCCTAGAAATTATTAACATATTCAGTAATGTGGCAGGTTACAAAATTAATCTAAAAACTCTGTAGCTTTTCTATATACCAATAACAAGCACTCAGAGAAAGAGTACTTGGAAACACTCCCCTTCACAATAGCTACAAAAACCATAAAATATCTTGGAATAAACCTGACCAAAGAAATTAAAGAGCTCTACAATGAAAATTTTACGTCTTTAAAGAAAGTGACTCAAGAAGACATCAGAGGATGGAAGGAACTCCCATGCTCATGGATTGGAAGAATTGAGAGCTGGGGGAAAACAAATCCTAAGATTCATATAGAAGCACAGAAGGCCTCAGATAGCCAAAGCAACCCTGAGCACTAAGAGCAATGCTGGGGGGATTACTATACCAGATTTTAAACTGTATTACAGAGCTATAGTCATAAAAAACAATATGGTACTGGCACAAAAATAGACCCATAGATCAATGGAACAAAATTGAAGACCCAAATGTGAGTACATGCAATTTCAGCCACTTTATACTTGACAAAGGAGCCAAGAACATTCACTGTAGGAAAGACAGCATGTTCAGCAAATGGTGCCGGCAAAACTGGATATCCACCTGTAGAAGAATGAAACTAAACCCCTAAATTTCACCTTGCACAAAAGTCAACCTCAAATGGATCAAAGACCTCAATGTGAAGCCTGAAACTCTGAAACTGTTAGAAAAAACATTGGCAAAAACCTACAAAATTTAGGTGTAGGAAAGGATTTTCTAAACCGGACATCAATTGCTCAGGAAATGAGGTCAAGAATCAACAAATGGGACCTCATTAAGCTAAAAAGCTTCTGTACATCAAAAGAAACAACCAAGGAAGTGAAGAGAAAACCCACAGAATGGCAGAAAATCTTCACCAGCGACATCTCTGACAGAGGTTTAACATCTAGAATATATAACAAACTCGAAAAACAAAGAATCAAGAAAGGAAGGAACCCAGTTAAAAGATGGACTAAGGAATTGAACAGAGAGTTCTCAAAAGAAGAAATAAGGGTGGCTAAGAAGCATCTTAAAAGGTGTTCAACATCACTAGTAATTAAAGAAATGCAAATTAAAACCACTTCAAGATTTCATCTTACCCCAGTCAGACTGGCTAAGCTCAAGAGAACAAGTGATACCAAATGCTGGAGAGGATGTGGGGAAAGGGGAACACTCATCCACTGCTGGTGGGTCTGCAAACTTGTTAAACCCCTATGGAAAGCAGTGTGGAGAACTCTTAAAAAACTACAAATGAACCTACCATTTGACCCAGTTATACCGCTCGTTGGCATATACCCAAAGAAATCCTATTGCAGAGACACTTGTACATCCATGTTTGTTGCTCCTCTTTTCACAATAGCTAAGAGATGGAAGCAAGCTAAGTGTCCCTCAGCTGACGTGTGGATAATGAAAATGTGGTTCATTTATATGATGGTGAGAGGAGACAATTGACTCCTGCAAGTACCCTCTGACCTCCATGCATTCTGTGTCTTGTACAAGTATACACACACACATGCACACACACACACACGTGCACATAATTTTAAAAAAATTAAGCTATGCTGAGGGTACTATGGGTAGAGTTTGGCCCTCTGTCCATGGCCTGTGGTCTACATATGAATCAGCAAAGAGAGAGTGGATTTCCATGATGGCTGGCTTAGACCCTCACCTTCCCAGTCTTCCTTCCACAGAACCTCAAATCCAGATTTTGTCCTTTCTTGGGTAAGAGGCATAATCGCTTCAGTACCTAAATAATACAACCTATGACATTTGGAACTAAATAGTGAAAACCAGGTTCCAGTTGGAAAAACAAAATGAGAAAGCCCCTCTCCACATGGAATGGGAGGAAGGTGTGAGGGACGGTTCTCTTGGGCAGAGCTCAGCCCCTAAAGAAAAGCCAGAAGTGGAAGACGCGAGTGTTTGGACTCTTTTGAAACATTAAGTTTAAATTATTTATTTTGGAGCAATCTGTCACATCTTTAAAGAAAAAATAACACAAACATTGGCAAGGGCATCAAAAATTGCTGTAATTTTAGTGAGCGTCATTTGGCACCAGGATGAAACACACTCCATGGAGCTCCCTAACTCTGCTAAATCAAAGTGACTCTTTTTGTTTGTTGCTGTTGTTTCTTCTTGTCTGCCCCATACACCCTCCAAAACTTCATTTTTACACAAAAAGAGTTCCTATGAAATGTACGTTTAAAAACATGAACACCAAAATTTACATAAAGGAAATTTCATCATAGAAAGCCAGGCATTCCACAAACTGTGTTTTAAATAAACAAATTTAAGCATGTTTTAAGGAAAATAATTTTTAATCAAAGCTTGTGATATTAGTATTTTTATCCTAGCTAAAACTTTAGCTTGTAAACTAGTAAAATTTTCAAATAGAACAAAATGGAATCATGGAACAATTTCTCCATGCTTAGGGAGATGCGACACTTATCAAATGCTCATATATATGTGTATATATGTATATAGTATATTAAATATAGTATATAATATATGTTCCTATGTATTATATACTATGATAAACATAGACATTTAAATGTGAAGGTATGATCACCACCCTCAGGTGGTTCATAATTTAATATTCAACAGTGAGTCTTTGCATAAAAGAGACTGGCTTCCTAGATCTGAAACTAGAAAAACCAAACTACAGCTTAACTTGAGAAACAGGACCATTCACACACACACACACACACACACACACACACACACCACCATGCTGCTGAAGACAGCTGGTAGTATATTCTAGCTAGCTCATTAAGTAGGGACATGCTTCTTTGGTTCAAATCTTTGTTTGTTTGTTTTCAGTATATAAAAGTTAGTGGTGAGTGAATAGTGGTTTACGTGCTTTCTTTTTCATTTTATATTTTATCCCATTTCCCCCTGGATTGTATCTATTATTAAAAAGCAAGAAGAACTTGCTTATATTTAGGCAATTCACAGTCTAAACCTTTCACAGCATCACTGATTAACCCTATTACAAATAATGCATGACTCTATTTCTATCCATATCGCCATCTATATTTATATGAGTTAATCCAAGATATACATTATATATAATTATCTTTTAATATAATATATGCTATATATTCTGTTCTCTATAAAGACTATGATCTTTTCACACCTCTAAAGAGTAAATTTTAGTTCAATATTATTCTGTATACTTAAATAAATTTTTAAAAATATTCATAAAAGAAGAAAAGTTGATTAACATGAAGGAAGCCCCGCCTTTGAACAAAAGCTCTTCTGCTTTCTTCATTCAAAATAATGCATTCCAGTGATTCACACAAAAAAACAACAATTTTTTAAAAAGACTTATATTTGAGCAGGAAACATAAAAACATACTTCATGTCAAATAGTAGAGGTGATAGACATTACCAGTAAAATCTACCTGATGACTTTATATCCATACTCAGGTACTAAGGATCTGAGTGTAACCGACTGTGACTAGTAATAATCAGATACATAGATTAAATACACATATGCAAAAGTCTAAATGTTAGTGGCATCAAAAATGTAGGAAACAGCATATTTTAAAATGAAATGGATATCTTCTTTAAAGGTTAAAAACATTTAATTTTATATCTTACAGGGCTTATACTGAGTTCAATGTTTTATAACTTACAACTGTAAATTCAACTGTGAACCGAAAAATTTACAGCCACTTTTAAAAGAGATGTATCCTTGCTCTGGAATGTGTTACTGAGTATGTTAAAGATGTAATAAAAAAATAATGCATTCCATTTCAGAAACTTTTATGGTAAGGCTGCTTCCCTATACTTTGACAAAGCAAGGTGGTCATATCATCCCCTGGAAAGAACTCTTTCACACGTTTCTCTGGCTGTTCCTCTCTAGCTCCTTCCCAAGTGCAGGAACAGAGTTTCACTTTGTGCTGGTGTGCACAGAAGCAGGAGAAGAATACAAGGCTGGAAGGGCATGTGAAAAGTTACTGAGATGGATGGTTAAAGACAGGCCTCTAAATCAATCACCAAGAAAGGACTGGAAAGGAATAGTATGGAAATCATGGGGAAAGATAGCCAGTGGGAGGGTATAGAGCTGTCTGCTTTCAACATTGAACTGTTGGGACCATTTTAGATGAAATGGTTAAAACCTGAATATAAGTAAGGACCTTGTAGAATATAGTTTACAGAAGGTGCTGAATTTGAAGAAGCACAAAACAACCAAAAACAATTGCTTACATATGTATATGCCTGCAAAACCCCATAATCTCATATTGTAAATTTTCTCTCTTCTTTGCAACATTTTTTATTTGGTACATTGAGCCCTAAGTGTCCAAACCTTCTCACCTTCCTTTGATCTCTGATATCTAGGTTAAAAAACATATAAAGGATGTCCCGTGGGTTGTAGAGATATGTGACTGGGTTGAGGAAAGGGTGTGTGTGTGGGAGAGAGAGAGATAGATAGAGAGAGAGAGAGAGAGAGAGAGAGAGAGAGAGAGAGAGAATTCTACCAGAGCATTTCTGTAGGACCCACATTCAGAAAGGTTTTTGGTTTTGGGGGGACTGACCTTGAGTAGAAATAGAGAAGGTGCTCTCCAAAGGCTGAACAGCAAGTGCTGTACGAGTCCCCAAGGGCACCTCTTTGTTTAGAGAAGAGCTGCTTTTCTGGAAGTCAGCAGGAGAATGTATG